GTAATGTGGGGTTCAAGTGTGTGGTTTAGGGAGTGGTATAATGTGGGTGTGGGTTTAGGGTGTAGGGTTGTTTAGGGGGGGGAGTTGTTATAGTGTGGGGTTTAGGTTTAGGGTGTGGATTGTTTAGGGGGGAGTTGTTATAATGTGGGGTTTAGGTTTAGGGTATAGGGTTGTTTATGGGGATATTATAATGTGGGGTTTGGGTTTGGGTTTAGGGTTTATATTGATGGTGTAGGGTTTATTTTTTGGTGCATTTTTAAAAAATTTGAACTATTATATAAATATATCAAAATTAAAAATCATTGATTATAAATTTATATCTACCATTCTAAACTACATTCACAAATAGAAAAACTAAAACAATTCAAGCAAATACATAATCAAAAGATAACAATATAAATAGTTTTTTAAAAGATTCAAACTATATAAAGATAAAAACTATTTCACAAATCCTTGAAAATCAAAACTATCGAATGAATTGATAAGTGAAATACAAGACGTAAATAAGAACGAATAAAAACATGAGGAAAAGAAAAGAAGATGGTGGAAAACTTCGAGAAGAAGAAAACTCGAACATGAAGAAAAAGAAAACAATGAAAAAAATATGAAATGTGAAGAGAAAAACACAATAAAGAGATAAATAAAAATTAAAATACGAATATGATAAAGATAAAGTGAGATGAGGAATGAGGAAGAAGAAAAACCGGAAAAGAAATGTAAGAAAATTAGAAAGAAAAAGAAGAATAGTGAATTGGAGGTCAATAAAGAAAAATAAGAAGAAGAAAGGGAAAAAAAAGTGATGACAACAAATAAAAAATATTAAAAAAAAATAAGAAAATGATATCAATAGAGAAAAATAAGAGGGAGAAGAAAACAACCGCTACAAAATTAATTGATACTTATCTGCTTTCACAATTTATAAGTTTATATCAAATTGACAAAAATGTCAAGTTATTGTATCTTTGGAAAATAAGCACATTACAAAAAGATGAAAATTAATAAAAAAAGAATGCGTTAATCTAATATTAATATTCCATTTGTCCCAATTTATAAGTAGTTTTGGGTAAAACACATAAATCAAGAAAATTACTTAAAACAATAAAATATCACTTAAAATATAAATAAATATAATTTAACCAATCATAACAAAAAGCAACAGAAGATAATTGGTCGCACAATATTTGATAAAGTAAAAGTCGCATTGAAATGTGTAAACTGCTTATATTTTGAAACAAAAGATTTTCCCGTGAAAGTTGATTCATTATGGTAGGGTTTATATTGGTGGATGTAGGGTTTAGTTTTTTGTGCGTTTTTTAAATCTTTAGTTCTCGAAAATTCTAATGAAAAGCGAAATAGCAAAACAACTAAATTGTTTAATCTTTTGTTCAAATCATATCTATTAAATAATAACATTTCAAATTCTTAAAATATCATATGAAATTTTGTGCAACAACAAAAATTACACCAAATTAAGCAAAAGTATTTAATTCAAATAAAAAAGAGTTGTCTATTATATGGTTATGGTGTACTGTACGGATGCGGAGGGGGGGTGTTTATTGTAGGGTAATTAGGGTTTATATTGGTGGGAGTAGGGTTTAGTTTTTTTGTGCATTTTTAAAATCCTTAGTTCTTAAAAATTCTAAGAAAAAGAGAAATAGCAAAACAACTAATTTTTAAAATCTTTTGTTCATATCATTTCGAGTAAATAAAAACCTTGCGTATTAAATTATAAATTATAAAATTAGGATATTTTATTCAATAATATAAATAAAACATATCACATACGATAAATAAAATATAAGAATAATATAACAAAATTAAAGGAAAATAATCATTAAAAAAACCCCTAGAAGTGACTATCTTCTTCATCAAGCAAACATGTGCTAGATATGCTTATTTGAAAGTAATTTTAATCAGTTAATAAAAAAAAAATCTAAACATTTGATATGATTTGAATATTTAGAAAAATTATTGTAACGTTTGAATTATGTAAACTATTCGTTTTTATTTACAGATTTTTTTATTTTTAAAAACAACTCATGCCTGCGCAAGGCGCGGACTAACTACCTCGTCAAAAAGTAAAATGAAGATGTTCGAGACACTCCCAATGTTAGCGAGAATTGTTATCCTTAATAATTCTTCTTAGCAGAATACTGAAATGTCGTTCCATATATACAAGCAATCTTTTACAGCTTCTCTGGATAAAAGCAATTATCCTTCACAAGAATCGTGAGAGTAATTAACCAGTTAACAACGGTGCCGACTGCCGATGTTTCCAGTGTGCAAAGGTTTTAGAATTGAAGATTAATATTCTTAGGCAAACGCGGTGTCTTATGATCTCTACGATTTGGGGTGGTTTGTATGAAAGATTTGGAAGTATTAGGCACTATTTAGAAAGAATGGACACATGTCTTCGTGAGAATATTGATTACAAAAGAAGGACAAGTAATGTGACTACATAAGTGGTCCTCTGCACATAAGCCGATATAAACCATAACGTGTGCGGTGGAAATGAAATCCGGTTTAAAAGACGATTTCCTTACCCACTATTTGCTGTCCATAACGTTCTTTGCTTCTTGCTTTGCTGATTGGTTTAAAAGTTAAACAGTGAATGTTTTGCCGACAAAATATTCCGTTGATATAATCCAAAAATAGCTACAAACGATAATTTTAATACTTTTATCAATGGAAGTACGGAACAATAACAAACACGGAAGATTGATTGATGATTAATAAGGTACTTGTACATACTTCTTACGTAACATGCAGTCATTCATATAGCCTAGCTATAGATATCATAATGATATAACTCATACCCTTCAGTAAAAGAAAAATATATATAAATTGATAAATGCACATATCAAATCATCATATATATGAATATATTATATATGATATTTTGTGGTTTACCGTTTACATATAATATTTTCTAAGAGAAAAGCAAGCCATTGGCTTATTACATGTCAAATCACCATTATTATTACTTGCTATAATTTTTTGTGATTAATCTCGAAGTATGTATGCAGATCGTATTATACACCAACAAAATGGGGTACATCATATTAGTATTTGCAAATCAATTTTCGTGAATGGAGGCACCACGTTAACTCTCAGCCTCGGAATTACATAACTTACCCTTAATGAAAATCTTGAAAAAATCTTTCAATTTGCTTATTATCTTATTTAAAAACGAATTTATTTTATTGGACGATGGATAACGAATTTTCCTTTCTTCCTAAATTATTTTTGGATATATACCGTATAACTAACATATTTTCGCGCCACATATATGGAAGAAATCAAAAAAATTGTAAAGAATTAAAAATTGGAAAACCTAGGTTTGTTAGCCGACTCTTTCTTATATATAGTTATAGCTACAAGCAAAATCAACCCAATTCTCATTACGATTTGCATATCTTCTTTCTATACGTAATCTTACTTCTTAGGTCTCATATTTCTTCTTCTCATGTATCTTTATTGTTTCACTTTGATTTAAGTTCTATTTACTGTAATGATTAACTGATTATTTGTTATCTACTGTCAATCATCTACATATACGCTTCTAACTTCTTCTTCTCTCGCTTTTGTAACAGTGAGTTCCAAGCTAATGGAATCTAGAAGATCAGATTTGGTCCCAAGCGAGAAATATTCAACTCCAGCAAAAGAAGGTATGAACATCTATCCTTTTAATTACCATCTTAATATTCATGAAACCCTAATTCTAATGGCGAATCTATAACGATTTTTTTTTTAATATCCATAATATTTGCTTAATCATTAATAATGTGGTGTTTGGGTTATTTAGGGGGTGGTGTTACACTGTGGGTTTGGGTTTAGGGTGTAGGGTTTATATTGATGGGGTAGGGTTTAGTTTTTGGTGTATTTTAAAAAAATTGAATTATTACAGAAGAATTTCATAATAAAAAAATCATTTATTTGAAATTTATATCTACTTTCAAAATTACATTCACAAATAGAAAAAAAAACTAAAACAACTAAAGAAAATCCAGAATTGAAAGATAACAAAACTAATAAATTTTTAAAAGACTTCAACTATATAAAGATAGAATCTATTTCAAAAATATTGAAAATTTTAACTATCGAAATGAATTGGTAGGTGATATACAAGACACAAACAAGACATAATAGATACATAAGTAAAAGAAAAGAAAACAGTGAAAAAGAAGATGAAAAATTTAGAAAAGAAAAAGAAAAGTCGAACATGAGGAAAAAGAAAGGAAAGAAGAAATAATGGAATGTGAAGAAAATTCCAAAACAAATGAAGAATATTACGTAGAAGAACAAGAAAGAGAAGATAAAAATAAGACACCTCAAGATTACAAAAATAAGAAGTTTGCGAAAACAAAAACGATGAATACAATAAAAAGTTGTACTACTTATATTATTTAAATCTTTAATTAATAATTGTATTTAAAAAATATTGTACCCGCACAACCACCTTGTATACTATACAAACAAATTAACTCTCATATGTACTGTGGTGTATACAAATGTGCGTACGTATGCATATCATATATAGCCATGTATATATTTTCTTAGTCCAATTTTGTGTATGATTTATTTGAGGGTTTGGAAGAGAATTTGGGGAGAGATATCCACCGTTGATTGAATCGTAATCGAGCACAGCCGTTGATTTTGATCCGTAATTTACTTATCTTCACTTTCCTTGTCATCTCTTTGCATCTCTGTCTCATCATTAGTTTGCCTTTTTGTACCTTCATAAGCTTCTTTACGTATTTGCATCTTCCGTTTTCTATAAATTAGAGACATTGACAAATATTTCGTTTTAGTACAAAAACCTTTTACGATAGGCCACAAAAAAGGTAAAATAAGAAAGAGGATACCCGTTTGAGCAGTTTCTTCTTCTAGGTCTGTGTTATCTAGTAGCTGCTTATATAATTAAGAATTACAAACATAAGTTACTTTTTGTTTAAGCAAAGGTCTATTACTTGCTATATGAGTCAGTGTCTATAATGTGATTAAAATACCTTAACCAAACTGGCCATTCTTGTTCTTATCCTTCTTTGTATGTACCCTCTCGAACACTATTTAACGAATAAAAGGTTGAGAACTTTTAGTTACATGCAAGAATACAAATATGTATTGTTTTTGTGAAATCACCACACTGAGTTACCTTGATATGGTATTTAACGTATGCGTAGAAATTTAGCAAGTTCCAAACCGTTTTGTCTAGTCTCTTTCCTTCAACGTGCCGTGAAGTAATATCTGCAATAAGAACAAGATTGAAATTCGTGTATATAATAGGGCTAATTAAAGAGGTTGAATCTAAAAACCAAACTGGTGAAAACTAATTAAAGAAAATGAATGTACCAAAAGAGACAAAACCAGAATTGGTGGTCAAGTCTTGGACCGGTTCTCCTCTAAGTTGGGGAGGAGGTATTGGTGACCAATTACACTGTGGAGCCTTTCCCATTTCCTTTTGGTTTCCCACTTCCACTAGTTCCTTTTTCGTCGTCAAGTATATAAAGTTTCAGCACGAAAGATATAAAATTTGACACAGAAATATATTGATAAACAATTCAGACTAGTGCACATATATATGCAGGCAGGTTTCAAAGACATAAATAGTTAGAAACTTCATTAATTACTGTAATGTTACTAATTTGCTCGCCTGATTTGTTTATCATTACAAAATTTTCTTTCAGACCATGTATGCATTGTATTTATACCTGGAAGAATGAGGTGGCAATAGCAACATCCGAATCGTCTTTAAAATTCATCGGAAACACCGCCGTCATTTTCTCCAGCTGAAAAAATATTTCAAGAACCATCCTTAGTTCTAACTTCGAAGGTTAATAAACTCGAGAAAATTTAGACGTCGGTCGGTCTCTGTACACAAATCAGGAGGGTGTAGGTCCAATTGGTGATATAAAATGGCAAAAAGATATTTTTTGTAAGAAAGAGAAAACTAAACCTGTTTAAAGACGTAGAAAGGTTCACTTGGGTGATAAACAATCCTGATGGGCCTGTCGTTGTTCATCGCTTGTGAATCATCTTGAAATTTCAAAATTTTCAACATCTCTTTTAGTTGGCTACTTAAGATCAACGCTTGTATTTCAGAAATCCTTGTAATGATTTTAATCGCTTCTGCAGTTAAAAGACAACAGTTTACAGTTACAACTAAAACATTTTGTTTTGCTAATAATTGCATTTGATATTGTCGAATAATTTTTCTTTTTATGGATTAATCACAGACATAAGGAATACATAATTAAGCTAACCTTTACCACGTGGCATATTATCAAGATGAATCCCGAGGGTCAGTTGAAAACCTAATTGTGGTGGATTAACGATAGCTATCACACCAACTGCAATTTTCTTAATCACATCATAAGTGTGACTTGAAATCTCCTTCAACGTCACTATTCCTTGTGTTTGAAGCAACGTCGACGTCGATACATACACAATCTTTGGATCCGAAACCGAAACCGAGCACTGCATGAATTTTTCACATTTTGTAACAGTTTAACTGTACTATAATGAAACTATCAAGAAAGTTATTATAAACATTAACAAGGCCCAAAAATATACCTTGATGTGATACTGAATCGAACCAAACTCGTAGAAATGTTGATCGATCTCAATAGGTTTTTCAGCACTGCCATAAATTTAAGGAAAACCAATTAAAACCATCAATTGATTGAAGCTTACACCGGAAAAGATTGCTGAGGTAAGGCAGGTAACTAAGCCGTGCGTAAAATCAGACCGGACAAAGCAAGAGAGTGTGGCTTACCGGTATATCTTGAGGAGTGCCTCTTTCAACGTTGGAGATGATCTTTCGAGATATGCCATTCTTGAAACAGCAATCGGAAAAAAATCTTGAGGGCACACGAATTATGATACTCGGGGTATAAATAACTTTTTGGTTTGTCAGATTTTTGATGAAAAAGTTTATTGATATCAATGATATGTGTGCGTGAAATCTTATGCATGTATAAGTACTTGCGTGTGTGTCACTTATTATAAGTGCATTTGGTTTGTTTGTTTCTGGTTTGTATGTACGTGTGTGTAGGTGAGTTATTGGAGATTGAGTAAAACGCAAGTTCTAAATTTGCAATCATTTTCATCTGGTTTTTAAGCAAACTTAAAACTTGTAGGCTTGTGGTAGCTATACGTGTGACTCGAATCTAATAATGTAGACCTATCTGTTACCCCCAGTCTAAACGGTGTAGGATCCTTTAACGCCGACTCACACGGGTCGCAAAATGACAAAGAAGGAATTTTATGTTTTTTCTCGGGATTAGAAAGCGGATCGAATCTAATAAAAAAAATCACTATAATCCAAATTTCAACTAGAACACACATCTCAAAATGATTGAACTATCGAAAATTTGATACGGTATCTTAACATTTTCAGACAAAAAAATTGATACGGTAAGTCGGTAACAAGATTCATATACTTTTCCACTGATCTTGATTTCGAGAGCTAGAATGTCCCTTTTTAGTTCAAAATTAAACCTCAAAAGTCAACACACAGCTGTTAAAGAACATTAATAATTGTTTTTGTTCTTCTTCTTCTGTGGACCTTATCTCATTAAAAAGCAATACTTGAAATGTAAGACAAGTTAATTTCATATAAAAAAGACAGTAGTTAGATAGATGTATGATTAAGCGTCGATTTCAAATGAATCGTAAGCTTTTGACTTAACTAACATATTACCACACATATTAATTCACCATTCTTTTTTGTTTTTATTTCTCAGTGTTGATTTGCTTAAGGTAAAAGAATGGCCATTGTAGTCATTTGTAGAGCCATACACATATATGTTTCTTATGCTTAAATTATTAATATTATTTTATGCACAATAAAACTTGTATCTTTAACAATTATGATGACTATTAATATTCAAACTAGATTTTTGTTTTGACAAGACAAGACAACTCATAAGATTTTTTTTTTTTTTTAATTAGTGTTAGTCACATAAAATTATCCATATGCTTATCTATAGTAAGGCCTTATCATTTAATTAATTAGTATATTCCTAAGTTTATTTGAATTTATCCACTTTTATTTTGAAAAATTCAAAGCATATTGAACTTATCCACTTGTAATGTATTTAAGGAAAGTTGAAAAATCACATATTAAAATATTGCAAGTATGCTAATTAAATATGTTTAGTCAACGGGGCAGTTTATGAAACTGCTAACGAGATTACCTACCGTGCGCCAAAACAAAAAACTTGATCTGATCTGCAAAAAAAACCTGACGCTAAATATTGGCCGTTGATTTCTATTTAACGAAATTTGTTTCACTTTCTCGACATCCAATCAGAATCCAGCAAAGCAGAAACGCGTCTCTCAGATTTCAATCCTCCACTTTCCCTTTTGTGTTTGTTGCGTTTTCTCGTCATCGGAATCAGATATTCTGGGAATTCGTTGGTTCCTGGATTGCTGGATTCGATTTCGGCTGTTCTTGTTGCAAAGGATAAAGGATTTTGCTGTCAATCGCTGTCAATTTTCCCGAGAAAACTATAGATTTTCCCTTCGCCTACCTTGAGAGAAAACGCTGCCACTTACTACGTAAGTAATGCTTTCTCGTTTTTAAATTTTCCGATTTCGTTTTCGGATCTCGATCTCAATTATCGATCCGAGCGTTGACCTTTCGAATGATCTTACAATTGATTTTGCTACCTGGAAATTTCGGATTTCCGTAGTTAGGATTTGCCAGATTTATTGATTACCTTTTGTTTGTACAATCACTAGGATCCAAATTGTGCTACTTCTAGCTTTGATTGAGATTTTGGAGCTAAATCGAGGTCAAGGGTTCATGTTTATGAATGATCAGGTGGATTGTATCTGATATGAATTAGGAAACAAAAAAAATCTCTCTCTACCGTCTCCAGATTGTTCGGAATTGGTTTCTACTTTCCATAGATTGATATCTCGTTGTTTGAGATTGATTTCGTCTGTCTATGGATACGTCTCGTGGAGAGGCTAAAGAAGCTAATGGATGTGAAAGTAAGGCCATTGTTAGTGTGAGCAGCGGCGAAATCGAAGATCAGGTTTATGAGGAAGAAGAAAGTGAGTCACAGTGTTTGTTGCCTCCAAGGAAAGGAGGAATGTCGAGAAGTACTGACAAGATTAAGAGGACTGTGCAGTGGAATGACAACAAAGGAGACAATCTTGCTGAGGTTTTAGTATATGAACCAAGGTAATTTCATTCTTCAACTTTTCACTTTCATTGTGGTTCTGATATCATTTATTTGGTCTGCCTCTGCTGCTTAGATGTTATACAGTTTCGCAAAGGTGAGATCAGTATCATCAAACCTTAGGTTAGTGTTGATTTGTAAGTTGTTTTGTTTGGGAATGGTTTCGTTCTTGTGGTTGCTTAGCCGTTTCTCAGGATTTGCCAGCATTGTCCTGGGACTCGTTTAGCTTAGTGGGTTTGTTGATGAGTCTATGAGAAACACTTCGGAAACCTCATTGTTTCATTTTATTCGCGTTCAACAGAAATAGCCGATTGCAAATTTCGTTAGCGTCTCTGCACCTATCTGAGGCATCACTAACTGTTAGAAGACTGCATAAACAAACTTGTATGCCTGTTTCTCACTTATTGTTGAATCTGAATGTAGCAAAGAACCCTACATGAACAAAAGCCATAAGAAAATCTTGTAGAGGTTAAGATTATTGGTGACTTCCCTTTGATGTTCCATGCAATATACATTGTTGGTTGTTTGTTCTTCTTGGCAATTCTATGACTTACTTGTGCCTCCATTTTATGCTTGCAGCGAAGTAAGCGATACAGATGACGATGAATCAGATTCCTGCATCTGCACAATTATGTAGTCTTCAAACCCGCGCGCACAATCAACCAACCACCATTAACATGGAGTTTTTTTAACAATGAGCTCGTCCTTGTATCTGACTTCTTTCCAGCAATCACTTTTTGTGAAACCTTAAGCGAGTGGACATCATCACAACCACACAAGTGTCTGATTTTGTGCTCATGACTTATGACAAGAAGCCACTCCAAGCGAGGGATGTAGACTCATAAAGCTCGTTTCAGTGACATGAGTGAGTATATAGATATTTGCTGTATTATCCTATAGAGGCTGAATCTTCAAACCCGAAGATCTTTGAGTGCTGTTTGATTTGACAGGTTTTTGATAGTAAATTCATGTATTGTCTTTCTGCAACATACCATATCATCATAATCAGATGCAAAAACGTTGAAAGATCACAACTGTCTCAAGATTTAGTTGCAGAAAATGGGAAGAAACCAATACAAACCTCCATATCCGTAGACACACACAAAAGAATCAGAAAATGCTACAAAAAAAACAAACAACAAAACACACTTTCTTCATCACAATGAACCCTTTTACCTGTTCTCCATGTTGGTGATATCAACAATTGGGGATCTCCTGGAAGAACCATTCCCATGAAAGCTCTTTGGTGAGGCCAACCAATTAGAAAGGCTAGTATTGACGATTATCTCCTTCAGCAGCGGTTTCGTTTGATCATCATCGGCTTCAACATTCTCCTTCATCACCTGTTTAACTCTCACTGGCTTTGCCTTAACAGCTTTCCACTGCGCAATATTCTCAACCGGATTCAAAAGAGGAGTCACGTCCTGGTCTCCGTAAGCCTCATCTTCTTCTTCTTCATCTTCATCATCAGCATCATCCTCATAGTCGTTTTCATCGTCAGTGTAATAGTCTTCATCCTCCAAATCACTCTCCCCATAGCCCAATTCGTCTTCGAAACTATCCACACAGTTTTGGTATCTGTAGTTTGAAGGATACGCAGATCTGCCGCTCAGATCCTCTGGTTTCTCATCGGTAACCGAAGTAACATTGCTTCTTTCTCCTTTCTCCTCTTCACCATCACTGCAATAGTTCTCGTATCTTGATGGTAGAAGAACTGGTTCATAGGTTTGTACATTCAAGTTGAATCTAACTCTCTTCCTCGTCTTCTTTGCTGTCCCTTTCTTCTTCTCCTCATCCTCCTCTTCATCCACCACACACCTGACACAATACCGGAACAAACATCCGTTGTTGAATAACCGGTTATCAGATTGGTGATCTCAGAGAAAAAAGTCTCGATTTTTTTACTAAATCCAAATCCAGAAGACATTGTGAATGGAATAGAAACAGACCTGAGGTTCGAATTCGAGATCTTTTCAGAGTTATCTTCTACAATAGTACTGAAATCTGACGGATCTGAAGAATGTAGAGGCTCGTAGCTACAGATCCTCTGAAAGAATATGAAAAAACCGATGATTTAACGATAGAGAGAGAGAGAGAGAGCGAAACAAGAAAGAGTGTTGTTTGATTTCTTGGGGGGAATTAAAAAAGCTTACTTGATCTCGAGGAAGGATCTTCCTGATGGAATTTCTGCGTTTTTTGTTGGAAGAGAGACCGAAACAACCCATAAAACATCCCATTTGGTGAATGGTGGTGATGTTTAATTCTTCTGTTTCGGTTTTGATTCTGTTGAGGAGGAAGACGAAGAAGAAGAGAGATTGAATTTTGTTTTATTTAATTTCGTTTTTGCCTCGTTGATGTGTTTAAACAGAAATAGGAACGTTGGGATTTCGAAAAAGATGAAAGTGACGGTGGGCTCACGGAGTTTATACCGTCGTTTATTTTCATTTATTATTTTATACTAGGAGAGAACCCGCTCTACGCGCGGGTTTAAATATTTGATAGTATTTTGTTTACTTGTTTTTGTTCTTTCACATTTTCGACATCGTTTATGACTCTCTGTTATACAAATTAATATAGTTTCATGCCAAATAAGTTTTTACAGTACATATAAGCTTAACTCTACCAATGTTAAAAAAACAAAGCTTAACTCAACCACATTTGCTTCTCCAGGTTCATTGTATATCTGATCAAAGTTTTTGAAAACCATATTTGGCACCGGACTGTTGGAAGGAAAATAATTGTATAAATTAGGTTCATAGGTTGTATATTTGAGATCTTGCCAAAAGTGGGAAAATATTACTTGCTGCTGCATAAACAAATTATAAACTTCCAAGTGCCCACCAGGCAAGTGCCCACCAATTTTTCAGGAAACCTGCAAGGAAAACAGAATGCAAATATTCATAACATTAACTGACAAGGTTGATAAGTCCGAATGTTATTTATCAATTCTTTTTGATCACTTTACTCACCTTGAGGCTGTACACCCTGTAGCAATAATTAGTGATCCATATTGCAAATACTTCCCTGTGGTTGTTGTGAGGGTTTGCTTCTCAAAATCAGCTCCAGTCACTGGATCTTCATATATCATTTGTTCAAAATTCCAAATGCATTAGTTTAAGACTCTTGACTCAAATACACATAGTTTGGAAACAAATTCAAAAATGAATTATGTATCAACAGCAGAAGAATAAAAATAATAGCTACAAAAACAAAGTGACAAGGATCAACTTGAAATCCCAAATCGCAAGGAGAGTAACAAACAACATAATGAGCTTACAAAATCTTCTGCACTTGCTATAAGCTTCCATGATATCCAAGCCTTCTTCGCCAATTGATGTTGCAACAATAACATTGAACCCACCAGCTCTAAATTTCTGTTGGAAAAATGGATAAATCATGTAAGAGTTTGTTTAAGAAAAACAAATCAAAGTTAAATTTTTCATTTACCTCCAAAACAGCTTGCTGAACTTTTTGTGACTGCCCTTTCAGTGTCTTACCTACATGAAGCGTACACTGTTACAATTATAAATGATACTCTCGTGTAACTTATAAGTTTCAGATGTAAACATCAGAGTAACAAACCTGATCAAGTAGAAGCATGACAATCCCATTTTTCTTTGAATCCTCGTGACCTCATAGACCCAGAGGCGAGCAAGGGTGGAGAGGAAGGATTTTGGTGCGGATAAAATCAGATACAACCTAAAAAGCGACGTCGTTTTGGTTGCAGAGGGAAGAGGAATCGAAAATGACAAACGACGTCGTTTTGGTTGCAGAGGGAAGGGGAATCGAAAATAACAAAACGGCGTCGTTTTGGTTTAATCGGTGAGAAATTTTAAAAAAGTGACGTGGCACTCTCTGGGGAAGACAGGAAACGACGTCGTTTTGGTGTTAGTCGAAATTTTTTTTTAAAAAGTTACAACGCAAAACGACGTCATTTTGGCGTTGGAAGGGAAAAAAAAACAGGGTGCCACGTGTCCCTAGCTGAAGAGTGTCCAAGCCTTATTAGTTATATGTAGATTTAAGAAGAAGAGACAAAAACAATTATTGCAGCCCTTTTATTATATTGCAAACCATAGTATTTCAATTTTGTCTCCCCGAAATCATGTTTCAGTTTGTGCTAACAAGTAGTATATATATAAATACATAAATTGTGCTAAAGAAAAGTAATTATTTGTTTAATGCATAACCAAAAATCTTAGTGACATTTAAAAAACCAAATTTTGTGAATGTGAATGAAAAATTGTTTATTAATTCCAGGTGGGTTGTGGCCTATGGGCCTTGTAGCCCATTTCAAGCAACTTTAGAAAAGTGATAAATATGCTTAGAGTTCCGTTAAGACAAAATTATGGTTATGCCATGTCTCTTCTTCTTTCAACGTTCACATTCTTGAGTTGATCAAAATGCAGCATACTTGGACTGTTGTTTTTAGACGATTTTGCTGAATATTTATGTTAAGTGGAACTTTAGATTTAAAGAAGAAGTTTTTTGTAATCTCCTTTCAAGAGATGTGTGTTATGGACTTTCATAATCCCCTTTCAAGAAATTATTTCTTGCCTACCAAGATACTTTTATTTCCGACCGAAGGACAACTGACTTTACGAGCTTTCAACAAGTGTGAATCTCGAAAAATAAAGACTCTTAAAGACAAATTTAAAGTATAAAATTTAATTTGTTTACCTTCTAAAACCATCTTTCGAATAAATACCAAAAAGTTTTTATCTGTACATGACGAAAAACAGACTTGGCAACATATGCAAGTGCTACTCTGAGAAGTTGTGATTTTCAAGATCAGATACTAATAAAATACCACTCAAAATGATGTTAACAATCTTCTTCTCAAAATTAGATTTCCATTCATGTTTTATAACGTATCACATGAGATCTGCATTTTCGAACAGTCCTCTACTCCTGTATACAGTCTATCTAGTGTACCATTTAGTCCGATTCTGACCATAATAACCGTGAAAAGGTTTATGAAACTATGTTATATTGGTGAGCTGTGAAAAGGATTTCATCTCATTTCAGCTTAAAGCTTACAACTTGAGAGTGATCCCTATTTATAGTCAAACCCATAGGGATCCTCATTTAACCTAAAGACACATGTCTTCCTTTTACAACTCTACTCTTCTTTCAATAAAGTAAATCGGTTGTACATTGGGATTGCAGTTAGCGCATAGTTCGCATCCGTCTTCTCTGCTTTATTATCTTCTGCTCTGTTTTGTCTTCTTGTTGCAGGAGAAGACCGTTGGAGCACAACTGTTTCCAAGGTGGACTTACTTTGAATCTCTTTGGGCTTGTAAGCTTGTTGGACTTGCTTCTTATTCTTGACACTTGAAGCGCTGTCGTTTTGTATTAGCTCCAACTGAGGTCTTCTCTTAACAGCCCCTCTCAAACTTGGTGTAGGAGGGACATCCACACCAAGTTTGTACCGCAGTGAAGTGAAACTCGACACAGGCAGAGACTTGGTGAAGATGTCAGCTATTTGTTGATGAGACGGAATGTGATGAACTTCCAATAAACCAAGAGCAACTCTTTCTCGGACATAGTGGTGGTGTGTCTCAAAGTGCTTAGAGCGAGCATGAAACGCCGGATTGGCAGTGAGATAAACCGCCGAGAGATTGTCACAGTAGAGTTTCGGCGTAGTCATGACAGGCACTCCCAACTCCTTTAACACAGCATTGATCCAAGTTATTTCTGAAGCAGCTTCCGACATTGCTCTGTATTCAGCTTCAGTTGTGCTTTTAGACACAGTTTCTTGCTTCTTGCAAGACCAGGAAATCAGATTGGCGCCTAAGTATGTGCAATAACCTCCCGTAGATCGTCTTGTAACAGGGCAACCATTATAGTCACTATCACTATAAGCTCGCAGAGTGAAATTTGTTCCTTTGCTGAAATTGATGCCCATTGTAATGGTTCCCTTGACATATCGTAATATTCTTTTCAACAAATTGTAATCTGAGACTGTTGGTGAATGCATCTTCTGACAAATAAAATTAACAGCAAACTGAATGTCTGGTCTTGTTAATGTCAAATACTGAAGCTTTCCTGCAAGACTTCTAAAGTATTTAGGATCTTCAAACAACACATCTTGTTTAGGCACTCGATGAGGCTGCAAAGGTAGAGGCGTTGGCATTGGTGCACAATCACTCATAGCAGCTACTATGAGAAGATCTTCAGCATATCTTTGTTGAGACAAGAACAGCCCCTCTGAATGAAATTGTGCCTGAATACCAAGAAAGTACTCCATCTGACCAATATCCTTCATCATAAATTGAGATTTCAGATCAGAGAAGAACTTTTCCATTGGCTTTGATGCATTCCCAGTGATTATCATATCATCAACATATAGAAGCAGAATGATAATGTCTTTGTCCTTGATGTAGATGAACATAGACGGGTCTCGCACACTGCAAATGAAACCAAACTCCAAGAGATATGAGCTGAACTTATCAAACCATGCTCTGGGAGCTTGTTTCAATCCATAGATTGCTTTATGCAATAGGCATACATGATCAGGCTTTTCTTTATCCACAAAACCTGCAGGTTGCTTCATGTAAACAACTTCCGAGAGTTCTCCATGGAGAAAAGCGTTCTTTACATCCATTTGTTTGATCGGCCACTCCATAACCGTAGCTAGATGCAGAACCTCTCTAACAGTAGCTGAGCGAACTATAGGACTATAGGTTTTCAAGTAGTCGATTCCTTCCTCTTGATCAAAACCTTGAGCTACTATACAAGCTTTTAGTCGATCTAGTGATCCATCATATTTGATCTTATGTGTAAATATCCATTTACTACCTAGAACATTCATGTCTGGTGTATATGGAACCAGAGACCATGACCTTGTAACGCCACAAGTATTTATCTCCTCTGTCATAGCTCCATTCCAGCCAGGATGTTTCAGAGCTTCTGTAACCGTTTGTGGTCTGGAAAATGAGACTTTATGAGACAACAACGCATAGCGAGGATTTGGTTTTCTTATCCCCATTTTTCCTCTAGTAATCATCGGATGGTTTGAAATTGCAGCAGCTGCTGGTCTTGCTTCTCCTGAAGATATATTTCTGACTGAACCTCTGCTGTAGCTGGTATGGCTTCTCGTGTAGGTATATCAGACTGATCCTCAGTATTGTCTGTCCCTGCAACAGAAGATAACACGCTGTCGCCTATAGCATCATGATCTAAGCATGGCGTACGCCCAATACATGTATCCTCTGGTGAGGTAGACAAGTCATGAAGTTCAGAATGCAACTCGTCTTGAACTATCGGTACCTTTGCGGACACTGGAGAGGAAGTAGTTGGAGCCACACTTGATGAATTTCTGTGCGTGGATGTAGTATTGTTCGATGAAGGAACAAAACTTTGTTGCCACGCCTTTGATAAATTTGTATTAGCAGGAGAATGATAGGTACTATAGACGTTTTGAAAGGGGAATACTGACTCATCAAATATCACATGCCGACTAAGATAAACCCGTCCAGTCGGAGGATATAGACATCTATAGCCTTTGTGCTTAGCTGAATAACCAAGAAACACACATTTGAGGGACTTGGGATCAAATTTATGACTCATATAGTCTCTCAAGGTGGGATAACAAGCACAGCCAAACGTTCTCAGAGCTGTATAAACCGGAATAGAGCCAAACATCTTCTGATACGGCGAAGCATTGTCTTGCAAAGCAAAGGTAGGCAGGAGATTTGTCAAGTAGTTGGAAGTAAAAAATGCTTCCACCCAATATTTTGCAGGCATTTTTCTTTGAAACATCATGGACAAACCTAACTCTGTGAGATACCGATGCTTTCTCTCCACAAGACCATTCTGTTGAGGTGTATGTGGACATGAAACCAAGTGTTGAATCCCACTGTTTTGCAGATGTTGCAAGAAAGCTTTACTGATGAATTCTCCTCCACCATCGCTCTGAAACATTTGAATTCTTGTGTTGAATTGATTCTCCACCAATTGTTGAAATGAAACAAAGATTGAATGAAAATCTGATTTGCATTTCAATGGATAAAACCAGCAATATCGAGACCAATTGTAAATGAGGATTACATAGTATTTGAACCCCTGAACTGAAACAACTGGTGCCGGCCCCCAAAGATCACAATGGATTCTCTGTAAAGGCTTGGTGGCTACAAAGGCTGATGAACTAAACGGCAACCTTGTACTTTTCCCGAGACTGCACGACTCACAGACGAGATTGGTACGTTTATTGATACTAATAGCTTTTATTGAAGATAGATGCTGAAGCACTTGATCTTGAGGATGTCCCAGCCGTCTATGCCAAACCTCATCTGAAGCCGCCTACTGTCTAGACGAAAAGAACACCTCTGGTTTCGAGTCCTTCAGCTTGTATAGTCCCTCGTCATTGTTTCTTCCCACCAAAAGGTGCTTCTTTGTGACCTTGTCCTTAACCACAACCTCATCACAATCAAATTTAAATGTATAAGGATAATCACGAGTGACCTTTGAAACAGAGAGAAGCGATTTTGCTATATCAGGACACACAAGTACATCTTTAAGAGGAAGAGTACCTGAAGTAGAGCCAATAACAGTGGAACCGGTGTGAGTGATCGGCAAAAAGTTTCCATCTGCAACCATCACCGAATCGGAACCAGAATAGGGTTGAGACTGTTGTAGATGCATGGCCGAGCTAGTGACATGTGCACTCGCACCAGTGTCTGGATACCACTCATGGCCCGTGTGATCTGTGATATCAGTAATGTGTAGAGCCGACATAGCTACATGCATCTCCTCTTCCTGATAGGCATTATCAAACCGGTGCCAACATGCCAAAGCTCTGTGACCTTTCTTTCCGCAGATCTGACATGGAAGTTTAAGTTCTCCTTCTGATGTAGTGATTTGGCCGTGGAGGGATGATACTTGTTGAGGAAATCCTCGACCTCGAGTAGTGTAGCCACGTCCACGACCTCTATGAGCATACGACTGTCCTCTGCCTCGAGTGGTATAGTTCACTTGCATAGTGTTAAAAGCCATATGAGGAGAGACTTCTGAACCTGCTGTGTAGCTATGGTAACGAGCTTCAGCACTCATGAGCCGTGGCGTAATACCGATGAACGTTGGTGGAGTTATCTTGTCCATATCCCCCTCAATACTGGCTTTGACAGACTCGTACTCAGGACCTAAGCCTCTCAAGGCAGTGAAGATCTTGATTTGCTCAGGAACGATGTGACCCACAGACTGGAGAAGCGAGCAGATGGCAGTAATCTCATTGAGAAATTCCACCATAGGACGACCTTTCTTCGCCACGTCCTGCAGACGACACTGAAGTTCATACAAGCGAGCAGAGGAAATCTTGTTGAAATGGTTTGCCACGCTGAGCCACATATCACGTGAAGTCGCACATTGAATCACAAGAGCAAGGACTTCCTCTGTAAAGGTACCAATAAGCCATGACTTCACGATATGGTCAGTTTGTAGCCACACATGATAGTCTGGATTTGGGACCTCTGAGGTTTGACCGTTGATACCATGAACCTGATACTCGCCAGCGGTTGGGGTGTTGCTCCCGTGACAAAACCAAGTAAACCCTGACCAGAGAGATAGATCTCGAATTGAAATTTCCATAGAAGATAGGTTGCTTCAGTAAGCTTAACCGTGACAACAGAAGTAACACTTAAAGGAGGAGCAGAACTAGGGGTGAGAGCATGAGACTCCATGGATTTACTCCCTGGAGCTCTGATACCATGAAAAGGTTTATGAAACTATGTTATATTGGTGAGCTGTGAAAAGGATTTCATCTCATTTCAGCTTAAAGCTTACAACTTGAGAGTGATCCATATTTATAGTCAAACCCATAGGGATCCTCATTTAACCTAAAGACACATGTCTTCTTTTTACAACTCTACTCTTCTTTCAATAAAGTAAATCGGTTGTACATTGGGATTTCATTTAGCGCATAGTTCGCATCCGTCTTCTCTGCTTTATTATCTTCTGCTCTGTTTTGTCTTCTTGTTGCAGGAGAAGACAGTTGGAGCACAGCTGTTTCTAAGGTGGACTTACTTTGAATCTCTTTGGGCTTGTAAGCTTGTTGGACTTACTTCTTATTCTTGACACTTGAAGCGCTGTTATTTTGTATTAGCTCCAACTGAGGTCTTCTCTTAACAAACCGTACACCGTATGATATTCTTGTTCAATTAATATCTTATCATCCGATTCCTAGCTTCGAATCATCAAACCAAGTAAATATCTCCATTATACCTTACTCTTGAAGCTTCTTTTTGCTCTCCAATAAAATGATAGGAATAAAATACACATATTCTTACAGGTTTTAGAATTAACCAGTTTTTGGCTCAATAATATTAGAGAAATTACCATTTTTTGTTGTCGCCAGAGAAATTAGTAGCCAATTTAAATCTCGAAATGGGCCTATTATGTAACTTTTTGAAAAAATGGAAATCGGTACAAAAGAAGAAAAATAATAAAAAAAGAAGCTGATGTTGAAAAGTCAAGTCGATCTCTTTCACTCTCTTTAACCCCATTGGCCGCTATTTCCCAAGTCTGTTTTTTTCTCTCTCTCTCTCTCTTACCCAATTTCACAAACCCGAAACCCTAATTTTCTCGGGACACTGTAATTTTTTACAGCTCCTTTCCTCTTCTTCACCGGGGGGATTTGTCGGTGTCAAATCTAGGGCTTTTGGGTGTAAAGGGAGGTGGAGAGAGAAGGCGTAGCAATGGAATCAGATCAGGGAAAGCTCTTTATCGGCGGGATTTCATGGGACACCGACGAGAATCTGCTGAGAGAGTACTTCAGCAATTTCGGAGAGGTTTTGCAGGTGACGGTCATGCGAGAGAAAGCCACAGGCCGTCCTCGCGGATTCGGATTCGTCGCATTCTCGGATCCCGCCGTAATTGATAGGGTTCTTCAGGATAAGCACCACATCGATAATAGAGATGTAAGAAATTTCCTTCAATTCACTCGCTTTTTGCTCTTCGTTTTTCTGGGTTTATCAATTGAAATTGAAATCTCAAGTTTTGAGCATTGTTCGTCTGTAAAAACTTATGCTTTTGAGGGTTTGATTGTCAATGTTGAATCATGTGTTAGGTTGATGTGAAGAGGGCAATGTCTAGAGAAGAGCAGAGTCCTGCAGGTAGGTCAGGGAATTTTAATGCTTCTAGGAATTTTGATAGCGGCGGTGGTGCTAACGTCAGGACTAAGAAGATATTCGTCGGAGGTTTGCCTCCGGCACTAACATCAGACGATTTCAGGGCCTACTTTGAAACCTACGGTCCAGTGAGCGACGCGGTCATTATGATTGACCAGACTACACAACGCCCTCGAGGATTCGGGTTCGTTTCTTTCGACTCTGAGGACTCTGTTGACCTTGTCCTGCACAAGACGTTCCACGATTTGAATGGGAAACAAGTAGAAGTTAAAAGAGCTCTTCCGAAAGACGCCAACCCTGGAGTAGCCAGCGGTGGTGGTCGTGGCGGCTCTGGAGGTTTTCCTGGCTATGGTGGTGGTAATTCTGGTGGAAGTGGCTATGAGGGTCGTGTTGATTCGAGTAGATACATGCAGCCTCAGAACGCTGGAAGCGGTTATGCTCCTTATGGTGCTGGTACTGGTTATGGTACAGGTTATGGTTATGGAAGCAACGGTGTAGGTTATGGGGGTTTTGGAGGGTATGGGAATCCAGCTGGTGCGCCTTATGGGAACCCTGGTGTCCCTGGAGCTGGGTTTGGAAGTGGTCCAAGGAGTTCGTGGGGCGGTCAAGCGCCACCGTCGGGTTACGGTAATGTTGGATATGGGAATGCTGCTCCTTGGGGTGGTTCTGGTCCTGGGTCAGCAGTGATGGGTGGTCAAGGAGGTGCGTCTGGAGGTTATGGAAGTCAGGGTTATGGCTATGGTGGTGGGAATGATTCGTCTTACGGGACTCCGTCTGGTTACGGTGCTGTTGGTGGCCGGTCTGGGAGTGTGCCTAATAACAGCCATGGCGGTGGCTATGCTGATGGTTCAGATGCCTATGGGAATCACCAAGGGAATGGGCAAGCTGGTTATGGCGGAGGTTATGGAAGTGGAAGGCAAGCTCAGCAACAGTGATTTTGAGGAAGGAAGAGAGACTACAATGTGGTGGTCTTATCTCTGACCTTGAAGCCTTCCTCTTTCCGCCTTGATGATGATGCTTCTTCTGGGGCGGTGTGAGCAGGAGGTTCGACGTACGCTGGATTTGTCTCTTTTGTTAGTTTCTTCTCTTTAATAAGTTGTTCTCAGGCACTTTGAAGTTGTAGTTTTTTTTTGTTTAAGTTTGCGTGGTTATTTAATATTTGTCGCTTTTGGAATGGTATTTTCTTTCTATGTTCTAGTGTTTGTGTTTAACAATAACTCCTCCAGATTATCATAATTCATCTTTTCTTTGTTGCATCCATTGCGTTCCAGACTCTTGCTTTGCATCCATCTCTTTTGTTTAGGCCAAGAGTTTTCTGCTTGGTGTGGAAATGGGTTATAAGAAAGGTGTTTCTTAGAGAACAAGAGATTCTTGGTAATGGTAAAAGTAAACCATTTTTTGAAGTTTCAGACATAACTCTCTTCCATGTCTGGGCGTGTTGTTGTTGTTGTGCTGTGTGCAGAGCGGCACAACTTGTTCGAATATCTCAGAATAAGCACAGTTTTGGATGTTGGGTTTACATAATCCTGGCCCTGGCTAAAACTAGTCTGTTTGGTCGCTGTTGAAACTTTTTGCAAAGCTGTTCCATTGAAAGTAACTTGGATCAATGTTCTTCCTCCTTCTAATAACCTGTCAACGACTTAGTAGATAGTGAGAGATCCTTAGGAGTACACAAAGCTTTTCTCCTCCTCCTTGTGATCCTACAGATTCTAGGATTCAAGAACATGAATCTCAAACGACAAGCATGATCTGGTTATATCCATCAGATTCATTAGCTCCATTTCTCTTTTTCTAACATCGTTTAATTGTTAGAATTAGACCATTTCCGATTAACGATCTATCAGAGTGCAAATACTCTTTACACAACGTATCAAATTGAACTGTTTGAACACTGTCATGAAAATCGATTCCGGAATCAAATGTAAAAGTTGCTGGTCAATGTTGGCAAGAGATGCAATATGGTTCACTAAGTCTAAAGATATTCCTAGTCTAGTGTATCATGATCTAAGTTAAAAGTTGTGTCTGTGGTTTATTTTTTTTCATGTGTTAGAATCATTTTTAAGACCTATAAAAGAAAATACAGATACACAATTTGTTTTTCGGCCATACATTGAACATTAATGGGTTTTGTGAGAAACGAACAATTAAGGAATATTTAAGAGTGTATCACGCTGTCAACTATATACTCTACAAATATATGTGGATTACAGATGAGATTTGGATGGAAAAGATTAGCTAGAAATAGAAGATTTGCTAATTATGGTTTACATTTTGTGTATTTTTCCTAATTTTACTCACATCCTCTCTCATTCCCCCCACAGCACAGAAAAATTTGCTGTAGCTTACCTTTTTCCAACTTGTATCCTTCCTCCTCCACCTCCTCAATTTCTCTCTTCCTCTTGTTTTTTTGTTTGTTTGTTTCTCAAAAGTGTTTTTGCCTTATTTTAAAACAAAGAAATGTCATCTCTCTCCCTCTTTCCTCTCTCATTGGAAAATCTAATTTCATAAATCTCGTCCAAACATTTTCCCTCCACCCTCTCCTCCTCCGCCATGACCCATCATCACCGGCGTGAGTCCTTCTCGGTTACCATCTCCAACATGGGAGGTGGTTCCGCGGTGGTTTGTCCTAATACCGACCTTCTTTGGCCATTTGGGAAGCTTGACGGTCTTGACCGGGAAGATATCCGTGAGACGGCGTATGAGATCTTCTTCACGGCTTGTCGTTCATCACCGGGGTTTGGAGGCAGGACTGCTCTCACGTTCTACTCTACTCACAACAGCAACGACCATCATGGGGAAGGAGGAGGAGGAACAGGATCACCAGCTGGTGCTGGGTCTGGTTATGGGTCTGGGTTTGGGTTTTCCGGGAGGAAAGAGGTGGTGACAACCCCGACAAGCCGTGTGAAACGAGCTTTAGGGTTGAAGATGCTTAAACGGTCTCCGTCCAGGCGAATGTCAACGATAGGAGCAACTGGTGGAGCCGGGGCAAACTCAATGTCCCCTGGTGGTGGAATGAGTAGCTCAGGTCATATTAGCCCTGGAGCCGGATTCTTGACGGTCCCACCTTCTCGGCCGAGACGGCCATTAACTTCGGCGGAGATCATGAGGCAACAAATGAGGGTGACTGAACAGAGTGATAGCCGGCTTCGTAAAACCCTATTGAGAACGCTTGTTGGTCAAGTAAGTTGAAATGGCTTGCTTCTTCTACACGTTACTAAAAAAACGTTGAAATGCCCTAATGTTTATGTTTTGTTCTTTATCTTCAGACAGGTAGACGAGCAGAGACGATAATCTTGCCGTTAGAGCTTCTCCGACACTTGAAAACATCAGAGTTTGGCGATTCACACGAGTACCAGCTCTGGCAACGAAGACAACTCAAAGTCCTTGAAGCCGGTCTTCTCCTTCACCCATCGATTCCACTAGACAAAACCAACAACTACGCAATGCGTTTGAGAGAGATCGTTAGACAAAGCGAGAACAAACCCATCGACACAAGCAAAAACTCGGACACAATGAGAACACTATGCAACGTAGTCGTGTCTTTATCTTGGCGCAGCACAAACGGAAACCCAACCGATGTTTGCCACTGGGCTGATGGTTACCCTCTCAACATTCATCTTTACGTAGCGTTGCTGCAGTCGATATTCGATGTTAGGGACGAGACGTTGGTGCTCGACGAGATCGATGAGCTTCTTGAGCTAATGAAGAAGACTTGGTCAACGCTAGGGATCACAAGACCGGTGCATAACCTATGCTTCACTTGGGTTTTGTTTCATCAATACGTCGTGACGTCACAAATGGAACCGGACTTGCTCGGCGCATCACACGCTATGTTAGCTGAAGTTGCTAATGACGATAAGAAACTTGACCGCGAAGCTCTTTATGTAAAACTACTGACCTCTACATTGGCCTCTATGCAAGGATGGACAGAGAAAAGGTCATTTTTTATTTTATTTCTTGCTTTAACGTTTTGAAAATGTTTGAAATTCTAAATGTGTTTTTGGTTATGTTTTAGGTTGTTGAGCTACCATGATTATTTCCAAAGAGGAAACGTGGGGTTGATAGAGAATCTTCTTCCATTGGCGTTATCATCTTCAAGAATCTTGGGAGAGGATGTGACAATTTCTCAAGGAAAAGGACAAGAAAAAGGCGATGTGAAATTGATTGATTATTCAGGAGATCGTGTCAATTATTACATAAGAGCTTCTATTAAAAACGCATTTTCTAAGGTATAGTAATATAGAGAACAAAGTATTCACTTCTTGTTTTCTTGAATTAATGTTCTTGAACGTAATGAAATCTTTGTGTTTCAGGTGATAGAGAACACAAAGGCTAAGATCGCAGCTACAGAGGAAGGAGAAGAAGCGGCCGCAACACTATTGCAGCTAGCTAAAGAAACAGAGGATTTAGCGTTAAGAGAACGTGAATGTTTCAGTCCGATACTCAAGAGATGGCACTCGGTTGCAGCTGGTGTTGCCTCGGTGTCGCTTCACCAATGCTACGGCTCGATCTTGATGCAGTATTTGGCAGGAAGGTCGTTTATCTCGAGAGACACTGTTGAGGTTTTGCAAACGGCAGGGAAGCTTGAGAAGGTTTTGGTGCAGATGGTGGCTGAAGATTCGGAAGAGTTCGATGACGGTGGCAAAGGGCTTGTTCGTGAGATGGTTCCTTATGAAGTTGATTCTATTATATTGCGGCTTATTAGACAATGGATCGAAGAGAAGCTAAAGAGTGTTCAAGAATGCTTGTTTAGAGCAAAAGAAACTGAAGTAAGTTTTCAAGATTTTTACTTTCCAATCCAAAAAGTTACTTTTTTATTTAACTTTGATTATTGAGTTGATTTGCATTCTTTCTTTGTAGACATGGAACCCCAAATCCAAATCGGAACCTTATGCACAATCTGCCGGAGAATTGATGAAGCTAGCCAAAGATATAATCGATGAGTTTTTCGAAATCCCTATTGGTATCACAGAGGATTTGGTTCATGATCTTGCTGAAGGATTGGAACAACTTTTCCAAGAATACACTACTTTCGTTGCATCTTGCGGTAAGTTTATGTTTTTCACAATATTATTTAGTCCATTTCAGTCATAAAAAACTTACGTGTCTCTCAAGTTTATTTTAGGGCATTTCTCTAATTCTTGTGTTTTTTTTTGGTCAGGATCAAGACAAAGTTACATTCCTACGTTACCTCCACTTACAAGATGCAACAGAGATTCAAGATTCCTTAAACTATGGAAGAGAGCTACGCCGTGTACAGCCTCCGGAGAAGAGTACAGACACATCGCACCGGCGATGTCCGATGGCCACCATCCACGACCGTCGACGAGCCGCGGGACGCAGCGACTCTACATTCGTCTCAACACATTGCACTTCCTAAGCTCTCACATCCACTCACTGAACAAAACACTCTCTCTAAACCCGAGGGTCCTCCCGGCAACCCGAAAACGTTACCGACACAGAAACAACAACTCATCATCTTACTTCGACTTCACCTACGCCGGAATCGAATCCGCTTGCCAACACGTCTCAGAAGTCGCGGCTTACCGTTTGATCTTCCTCGACTCGAACTCTGTCTTCTACGAGAGTCTTTACATAGGAGAGGTCACAAACTCGAGGATCAGACCGGCTTTACGTATCATGAAACAGAACTTAACGTTAATGTCGGCGATTCTCGCGGACCGAGCTCAGGCGTTAGCGATGAGGGAGGTGATGAAGTCGTCTTTCGAAGCGTTCTTGATGGTCTTGCTCGCCGGAGGGTATTCGAGAGTGTTTTACAGATCGGATCACGGTCTGATCGAAGAAGATTTCGAGAACTTGAAGAGGGTTTTTTGCACTTGCGGTGAAGGTTTGATACCTGAGGAAGTTGTGGACAGAGATGCGGAGATTGTGGAAGGAGTGATTCAGCTGATGAGTCAGCCGACGGAGCAGCTTA